ACTTAAACTTGTGACATCAGAATCAAGATTACTTGGACTGAATAATCAGTGTTTCATCTCCGAAGAGTTTCATGTAAAGTTGCAAAATTTTCAGCATGTATTTGTGTTGTTAAGGCTTCGAAATGATGTTTTCAGTTTTACAAAATGTTTTGTTGCTACTACTGTAAATTGGACTGTCAGGATAATGAATATAATATTGTTAGTGAATCACTGTGAGCAACTGGTAGTAGTCCTGAAGGCATTCTGGTCGCTGGGATTACAGGGTGCTTGGAAGAGTTGTGTCCCTTTGATTTGTGCAGTTTTTGCCATAACTTTGAATCCCAGACTAAAAAGAAAAAATGGACATGTGTATGTTCATTGTCATGTTTTACTATAAACTAAATTATCTTCATGTTGACTTTGTTTTCATGTAAACTGGATGGCATATAGCAGCACATAGTCAGACAAAGAATCGTTTCAATTTGTAAAAAGTCCACCTGACTGATTTGCCGAACTCGAGTGTGAGACTGATGAAATGAGCAAGAAGTAGCATGTTCGCATGATGGAATCCATTATGTTCTGTTGACTGCCTGATGGGATTGTTGCACTTGTCTTGTGTAACGTAGTCAGTCTGGACACTTTAAAGATTTATTGGAACAATTTCCTTATCAATTTCCATGTTTGCCAGCGTATTCTGCAAAGTTGAAAATAAAGAATATGGTGGATTAAAAAGGGATGAGGATTGATGAAAGTCAATAATCGTCTGATGTTCGAAGTTCGCTTGTAAATATTTGATGTATTTGTTTCTAGTAAATGATGTATCATGTCGCCTGGATATATTGCAACACGATGCTTGGAAGTCTGCACAGGCTTGGAAGAATAGTGGAAAAACTGTTGACATGAAAGAGTTTCTTTCTGTACCTTGCTTCAATATATGGACATATCGTGACATGACATCTGAAGCTGGTGTGAGGTTTAAGAGCATCAGCGTTAGGTATGTTACACTCTTCAATGATTACTGGAGATTTTGTCGAATTATTGGCAACAAGCAGACGGACTCTGATGAAACAATCTTTAAGGATATCCGCTGAAAATCATCCATGCACATTTATGACCGTCCAAGTCGTGATATTGTCAAGAAGATAAAAGGAAAGTGAGATTGGAAAGATTTGAGAAGTTATCAAGACATCTAATTTCATTCATAATCATGCAACAATTTTGTTTTCTCCTATTACTGTTTTTCCCAAAGAAAGCCTGGATGAGAAATGAAGACTGTAATCATCCGAGTGGTAGACCTATGATGTCTGAAGACAAATGATGTCATTATTTGGTGGACATATTTTGAAGAAATAATATCATAATGTTTTGCGGATATGGAGTAAATTGATGTTGTACAGACAACTCCAATATGAAGGCATAGTTGTCATGCGAAGAATAAAGAGTTATTGATTACAGAGGGCTGGACCAACCAGAAGGAGATATTGTCCCTGTTTTCCTAGTGTCACTGACTAGATGATAGGTGCAGCCTCTAGACGTGTAATCACACGCACAGCCGAGGTGGTGAAGCTATGAGCAGTACATCTTGATCATCTACAGGCAGTCAAATTATTGTTGCTTCACTGGAATACAGCTATGTTTGATGTGATAGTGCTGTAACCATTAACGTCAGCCACATCTATCACACACTGACTGATCACTTTTGTGCCTGAACATGTAGGTCATTCAAAATTCATAGAGCAGTTGACAGACCATTCTTTCTTAACATACTGTCTTTCTTTATATGCATAAAAAACAAGTTGGTGACAAACAGTCTGTATTTTAAATGTATATATGCCGATATGGATATCGGATGTACTTTGTCACACCAAAAGAAGATATTGCTGAGAAGTAAGACACATAAGTATTTTTTTGGTCTGTTAGTAATCAGCACTGCAATTTCATCATTTTTCAGACCATTAATTAAAGATATACATGTAGTTCAATTTCTCAAAGGCTAATAAATAATCATAGCTATCAGATATTGCCAGAGTGATATTCCTAAGTTGAGATTAAGTTTGAATTACAAAAATGGCATCTACCTTTATGGGAAGCTGATCTCTTTTTAAGGAAATATAAGTTGACTACTACCATTCTGCAGCGTAATGAGAATACCAAATAGCCCTACCATCAATGACCCTGGTGCGCCTGTTCGGGGGTTTTGCTGGTATGGTAGACATTACACACTCCAAATCAATAATATTCATTCAACCAGGTTAGAAAAAACTTATCAAACTATGAATAATTACATGGATGTGGAAGTGAATTTGCTCATCAGCGGCAATGCAGTATCGATTAGGTGAGACGGGTATACTCCAGGAATGACGTTATCATTCATTTTGTGACTTTTTCTGCCTACTCAGCTCATCAAATGCTCATCTGAAACCCAGACTACAGGGACCACTAGTCAACAGAATTAAATCAAAACTTCATTCACTTTTCACTTTGAGAGTGTAAATGCAATTCAGATGAAAATAGAATGATATACGTTATTCAGCAATAGCTGTAAGTATTTGACTGTTATGATTCCCAGACGTAATGGCTCAATTGGAGCAAAGGTTTGAAGACCACCTTCCGACGAATCAATAGGTTCTTTCTGTAAGGCGTGTCACAGTCTATCTGTGTGTTGCATTACTTGCCAGAGATTTACTTCTGAGATGGAGAAATTCCATTTCAGAAGAATCCTGCCTTTGCTTGATGCTGGCTGTCTTTGTTTGCTCTCAAGGATAAGTTAGACCACTTGGACGCCAGTGCTTTAGAATTTTTTCTCAGCGGGAAGTATTATGAATTGTTTCTTTAAGAGTATTGGACCTCCATTTGGTGGCGAGTATTTGTTGATCTCTAATAGTGTATTGATTGGTTGGGTTTGTGATGGAGAACGAAGGTTCTACTGATGTGTTATATTCATTTTCAAAAATGAACTTTGCACCTGATTCTCCCGTGTCTTTCAAACTATATGTTTCAAAATTATAAACCAGTACATTATTACTTTCATTCAAGACAAATGAGACATTAGATGTAATTAGTTATGTCATGCATTGATTCTGATGCAGGTGAGAGCGTTTGACACATGAATGTCATAGTTTGAATGTGGAGCCTTGTCTTGGCCTCAGTACACAACTTTAGGTTGAATGTGTAGCCTTGTCTCGGCCTCAGTACACAACTGTGGGTTGAATGTGGAGCCTTGTCTTGGCCTCAGTACACAACTGTAGGTTGAATGTAGAACCTTGTGTTGGCCTCATTTCTGTGGGTTGAATGTGGAGCCTTGTCTAGGCCTCAGTGCACAAGTGTAGGTTGAATGTGGAGCCTTGTCTTGGCCTCAGTACACAACTTTATGTTGAATGTGTAGCCTTGTCTTGGCCTCATTACACAACTTTAGGTTGAATGTGGAGCCTTGTCTTGGCCTCATTACTTTGGGTTGAATGTGTAGCCTTGTCTTGGCCTCAGTACACAACTGTAGGTTGAATGTAGAACCTTGTCTTGGTCTCATTACTGTGGGTTGAATATGGAGCCTTGTCTCGGCCTCAGTGCACAACTGTAGGTTGAATGTGTGGCCTTTTCTTGGCCTCAGTACACAACTGTAGGTTGAATGTAGAACCTTGTCTTGGCCTCAGTACACAACTTTAGGTTGAATGTGGAGCCTTTTCTTGGCCTCAGTACACAACTTTAGGTTGAATGTGTAGCCTTGTCTTGGTCTCAGTGCACAACTGTAGGTTGAATGTAGAACCTTGTTTTGGCCTCAGTACACAACTTACACAACTTTAGGTTGAATGTGGAGCCTTGTCTCGGCCTCAGTGCACAACTGTAGGTTGAATGTAGAACCTTGTTTTGGCCTCAGTACACAACTGTAGGTTGAATGTGTGGCCTTTTCTTGGCCTCAGTACACAACTTTAGGTTGAATGTGGAGCCTTGTCTTGACCTCAGTACACAACTGTAGGTTGAATGTAGAACCTTGTCTTGGCCTCAGTGCACAACTTGAGGTTGAATGTAGAGCCTTGTCTTGGCCTCATTACTTTGGGTTGAATGTGTAGCCTTGTCTTGGCCTCAGTACACAACTGTAGGTTGAATGTAGAACCTTGTCTTGGTCTCATTACTGTGGGTTGAATATGGAGCCTTGTCTCGGCCTCAGTGCACAACTTTAGGTTGAATGTGTGGCCTTTTCTTGGCCTCAGTACACAACTGTAGGTTGAATGTAGAACCTTGTCTTGGCCTCAGTACAGAACTTTAGGTTGAATGTGGAGCCTTTTCTTGGCCTCAGTACACAACTTTAGGTTGAATGTGTAGCCTTGTCTTGGCCTCAGTACACAACTGTAAGTTGAATGTGGAGCCTTGTCTAGGCCTCAGTGCACAACTGTAGGTTGAATGTAGAACCTTGTCTTGGCCTCAGTACACAACTGTAGGTTGAATGTGTGGCCTTGTCTTGGCCTCAGTACACAACTTTAGGTTGAATGTAGAACCTTGTCTTGGCCTCAGTGCACAACTTGAGGTTGAATGTGGAGCCTTGTCTCGGCCGCAGTGCTCAACTGTAGGTTGAATGTGTGGCCTTGTCTTGGCCTCAGTGCACAACTGTAGGTTGAATGTGTGGCCTTGTCTCCTCACCAGTACATAACTGTAGGTTTGATAATCTTGCTATAGTCTCAACATAGTTTTGACCGTGTACCAGTAGTTCCTATCAGCCCCTCAGGCTTGTCTCAGCTGGAATAGTCTAATTAGAGTAAGTTCCATGGGGTTCCTTGTCTAACACCACAATACATCATTGTAGTTCTGATGGAAACTTTATTATGTATATACGAGTCCATCACCTTGGTATCACTACGCTGTTGTCAGATGATCTGAAACCGAGCAACTCACTCATTCCCTCAATCACACCAGTCCCTCTTAACTACTCACTCAAGCACCTTGCAACTACTCACTCACTCACTCACTCACTCACTCACTCACTGAGAGGTAACTGTGGTGTTTCCATGTTCTTGTCTCTGTTCCAGATGCCGTCCATAGTGCGCTCCATCACTGAGCCTGAGATCATGAAGCTCAGGCAACAGACACAGTTTATTTGGGAGGCCTACTTTTCCTCCGTTGATAAGATAATAGGAACAGTTTTAGAGGTATGTTAAACCTGCTCATTTATCCGTGGCGTCCTCTTTCTAGCATTCACCACTTGTCACATTGTCCGTGTCTTGTCTCACTCATTAACATAACACTATTTATATATTGTCTACATCAAGATGCTCACAGGTCATCTTGACATTTAATCTAATTTTCAGTCAAGTTGCAATGCTTAAATTATTTTTGAAAAGCATTTTTAATTTCCTCAAAGCCATTCCTTTACACTAATGTAAGTGTATTGTTACAACTGTGACAGTGAAACTAACAATGTAGAGATCAGACATGAGAATTTGCTGCGAAATCTGCTGATTTTCGGGCTTTTTGTTTCATTTCGAACGTTTTTGAGATCGATGTAAATCTCCAATAGATCGCGGGGCGGTGGGGTAGCCTAGTTGTTAAAGCGTTGGCTCGTCACGCCGAAGACCCGGGTTCGAATACCCACATGGGTACATTGTGTGAAGCCCATTTCTGGTGTCCCCTGCCGTGATGTTGCTGGAATATTGCTAAAAGCGGTGTAAAACCAAACTCAGTCAGTCAGTCAGTTCAATAGATCGCCAGCTAAATTTTCACTGTTTCTTGTGCTTTGTCATTCTCATGTCTGTGAAATACAGTGACTGTTAAACTTTCATATTTTTTCTTACTTTGTGTTATCAGTATTTTTTCCTTTAAAATAAAATCATGAATGAATTTGGTCTAATTGACCCTTATTCTGTATACTGTACTTGCATAATTCTGTCACTATGATCCGATTCTGTGGCTTAAAGGCATAACTCTGTCAATATGACCTGGATATCTAGAATGTGCCCAAATAACCTTGTCAATATGACCTGGATGTCTAGAATGTGCCCAGATAACCATGTCAATATGACCTGGATATCTAGAATGTTCCCAAATAACCCTGTCAATATGACCTGGATATCTAGAATGTCCCCAAATAACCCTGTCAATGTGACCTGGATATCTAAAATGTCCCCAAATAACCCTGTCAATGTGACCTGGATATCTAGAATGACTCCAAATAACCCTGTCAATATGACCTGGATATCTAGAATGTCCCCAAATAACCCTGTCAATATGACCTGGATATCTAGAATGTCCCCAAATAACCCTGTCAATGTGACCTGGATATCTAAAATGTCCCCAAATAACCCTGTCAATGTGACCTGGATATCTAGAATGACTCCAAATAACCCTCTCAATGTGACCTGGATCTCTAGAATGTGTGTAAATAACCCTGTCAATATATGGGAGGAACTTGTTTAATTATCTGTTTGGCTGAGCTCTTTGTGTTATTTTTCCTTCTTAAATAATTGACAAAGTTTACCGGCTAACGTGTTGTTTATGGTTAGCCCTAGTGACATAGCAATAGTTTTGACCCAAATAAGCCACAGACTTAATTTTCCTTATTTACAACAAAGCTGGAGAACGAGAATTGACACAACATTTGTAGGGAAGTAATACTTGATATGCCTACTTTCCTCAAATATAACCACTCCTGGAACACCCCACCCTTACCCCTGCCCCACCCCTCTTTATCCCAAAACTTACCCCCACCATTACCCTCCCCCAACCTTTCCCCACCCCGCTTTATCCCAAAACTTACCCTTACCCCCACCATTACCCTCACCCTTACCGCTGCCCCCTCTTTATCCCAAAACCCTTATCCCCTACCCCCACCATTACCCTCACAAAACCTTACCGCTGCCCCCCCCTTTATCTCAAAACTTACCCTTACCACTCTCCCCAACCTTTGCCCTGCCCCTACCCCTCCCTCCCCTGCCCCTGCCTCAGCCATTGCCCCTGCCCCTACCCGTTCCTTCTAATGAATCTACATTTATGTGTAGGCTTGTGATATAGCTGACAAACAATTCAATCTGTTTTGATACAAATAACGTTATAGAACCTGCCACATAACTTAATTTCCCTTGTATCCTCTAGCTGTGAATTGTTATGGTTTAATTGTTGAGCTTCCTTTGACAAGGGCAAAACACTTCATCTGAAACTTCAAAGTCAAAATTGATGTAATTGCATATTTCCTGCATGGGTTTTCATTATGTTTAAACTATCCGAGAAAATGGCAGCTCTTTTAAACGGTTGTAGCAGCTGTTACCGGTAATTAAGATGGAGCTTCACAGTTTCTTGCCTCCAGTCATTGAATTCTCCTGTCACTCCATCATTATTCACATGTGGCCTCTGTGATGTTTTGAATGGTTTTGAATTAATTTAATTGAGATATGATGACAATTATGGATTTGGTTTTAAGCGGTTGACTGAATTGACAGCGTCAGAGCGTGATGATTATGGTTGTTTTCGCATCCTGAGGTAGATTGGCGCGCCATACTCGTAATCAACAAGTGGGAGATAATTGTATATAAGAACTCACACACCGGATTTAATTGATCAGCTGATTAGAAATCATCTTTGATCATCGGTAATCGGTGACATTTGTTGAACATGTAGTAGATTTAGTACTTCAAATATTGGTGATGATTTCTTTCTATCTGTGCAATTTGTCCAAAACAACTAATTGGTTTCACTGCAGCTTTGTAATATTCAGTCTACCCACAATTTCTGCCATCAGTGCATTGTGTTTTCTTGAATAGAATGTGTAGTTTGTTAAGCGATTAACTAGCTCACCTTGTCTGCCGTAAGCATCTTTTTGTCAGAGCTGCTGCCCCGAGGATGCTGAAGTGTGGTATACTTGTTTTCATGAAATTTGTTCCTGAAATTCAGAACTGATTTTCAAAAGGGCAGCTATGACATTACATTTCATCTGTGATGTTGCATTCTACATGCTGCCTTTGTTTGAATGTAGATTTGGGTTTATTCCTCAATTTGACGACTTTGGTGATAAACAGAATATTATATTTGTGCCCATATCATACTATGTTTACGACCCTCTTGCCTAAATATTGGTATATCCCTCGCTCTAGCTTGAGAAATACGAACATGTAGGCACTCGTCAGTAAAGATAGTATGACATGGGCACTCATATAATATCCTCTATTTGTGTCCAGACACTGTAGACTGTTGATCGGCGTCTGCTGTCATTGGGCTCCATCACATACTACACAAAAGAAGTTAGAGAACAGCTGAGTTTGTAATTGCTTACAGTTAATCTTATCTTCTTTTGAGTACTATATACACGCTGCATTAATAGATACTGAACAAAAAATATTAGGGATCATGAATATTTGGGGAATATTTTTTTGTAGTTAGAGCTCTCAGTTATAAAAAAATATGCCCCAAAATGGTTATGATCCTTAATCTGTTTTGTTCAGTAAAACTGGAGTGCTTCTAATGGCTTGGTAAAACAACATTCACTCGTATAACGACCACCTGAATTTATTTATCAGCAATTGTTCTGTTTTTTTGTGAAACCAGATAATCAAAGACCGGATCTCCAGTCAGATGAGACGGTCCCTCAAGTTGTGGAATACGGTTCCTGGTGCTACAGCCATCCTCCCGGAGTACGCAGATGTCATGCAGTCTTTCCCCTTCTACTATCGCCACCTAGGGGTGACCCCCAGAACTAAGTTCACTGCTGTAATATATGCAACCTCCCCTGTGATGTCTGCAACTGCCTCACCGCTGTTCAAGCTGTTGCGGAATGTCGCAAGGTCCTCATATATACAAAAGGTGGGTTCCACATGGATAGGATTGGATTGTCACCGAGATCAAAAGTAATCATCATTATGAGTTAAAGTCATTGTGGACTCCTATTCATTATTTAAATTTATGAAGAATGATTGATCTTAACTTGTGGGGCTGTGGGGTAGCCTAATGGTTAAAGCGTTGGCTCGTCACGCCGAAGACCCGGTACTGCCCGTTTTTGGTCTCCCCAACCTTGATGGGGCATGTTGAGTCTCAGAGTCCAATTTTTGGTGATTACGGGATCAAAGGTCCATGTTGGATGTGATCCCTGGCCTTGGAGCATGGGGCGGGGTGTATCCTAGTGGTTAAAGCGTTGGCTCGTCATGGGGCGACCCGGTTCAATCCCACATGGGTACTATGTGTGAAGCCCATTTCTGGTATCCCCCGCCGTAATGTTGCTGGAATATTGCTAAAAGCGGCGTAAAGCCAAACTCAGTCAGTCAGTCAGTCATCTTAACTTGTACTTTTGGATTACAGTGTTTACTGCCCGTTTTTGGTCTCCCCAACCTTGATGGGGCATGTTGAGTCTCAGAGTCCAATTTTGCTGATCACGGGATCAAAGGTCCATGTTGGATGTGATTCCTGGCCTTGGAGCATGTATCCCCTGTGGTTAAGCTCCATTTCGACTCTGTGTGAAGCCCATTTCACTCTCGGAGCACATCACCAGCTCTGTTGTCTTGTGGATTGAAAACATGAGTTTGATGTTTCCATTTCTGGTTGCATCCTACCAAAAGACATTGAAAGGTGAAATTTGTTGTTTCCATGCCTTGTGCTAGGCATTTAGGGAAGAACACATGGAATGGTTGGCTTGGATGGTATTCTGTGTGGGGAAACCATGTAGGGAAGGAAGGAGGACCCAACTCATTCATTCACTTTTATGCGTTTGAGAGCCTCTCAAACTCAAGGACCTGCTCATGCTTAAAATGTTTGCCCTTAAATTTTGAGTTCTGTCTTGAAAAGGTCTTTAATATACCCTGCCTTGTGAATGTGCACCGAAAAAGGCCATTTTTTATTGCTATCTGAAGGCAATTTACCTTTAACACCCACATGTGTTTGAAGTGTGTACATTATTAGTTGGCGATCATGAGGAAATTGGTATGTGTTGGCATAGCCATAATTATATTATGTGAAAGATATTCCTGCATATTTGATTCCCATGCAAGAATTTTGATTACATTTCTCATATTAACAGACAGTTTGTAAGATTAACTTGATGTTAAGACAGATATTTGGCATATTTTGCAAAAACTGCTGAGTAAGTGGTATTTACATCATGCCTCCTTGCCTGCAGCATCTTCTGCACCTGTAGGATGGGGATGACCCATAATGCTTTACTGGAAAACTATCTGTTCCTCGGACACGTGATACACTCAATTTTTGTTGTATTTGTGATCCTTGTCTCAAACTCTTCTCCTAATCAGATACCATTATGCTGATGTCTGAAATCAACACCCAAGTGCACATGCAGCTTCTTCCTCAGACCCATTTCTGGTGTCCCCCGCCGTTATATTGCTTGAATATTGCTAAAAGCAGCAAAAAACTAAACTCACTCACTCTTCCTCAGACATCCCAACTGCTAGTCTCCCTCCCCTCTTGGATGGGAAATGACAATAAAATCATGTGTCTATTTCCATTATCAACCTTTACAAGGTTAACAGTCATGACATCCCATCTTGTTACAAGGAGTGAGTGATTGAGTTTAGTTTTATGGCGCTTTTAGCAATATTCCAGCAATAGCATGGCGGGGAACACCAGAAATGGGCTTCACACTTTTTACCCATGTGGGGAATCGAACCAGGGCCTTCGGCATGACGAGCCAATGCTTTAACCTCAAGGCTACCCCACCACCCCTGTGACAAGGATGGGAGCTTGGCTTTATAATCATGAATGTTAGCTGGTAGACGGTGCTGTTTTCCCCCCAACGTGTTGCTAACACTATCGACCACTGGCCTAGTGATGATTCCAATCAGTAATTGCCTTCATTTGTCTTCACGTAACTGGTCGATCAGGCAGGCAGGCAGGCAGACATGGATGATAATGACTCATATCATGCTAATATTCAGTGAATCAATTTTCATGATGTCAGTCACTGGATTGTCTGATCCAGACTTGATTATTTACAAGTTGCCATCATCGACAACTGGCACTGGACCCTGTGATATAATGGGATTATTGCTAACTGCAGTGTTAAGCAACTAACAAACATGGACTACTGGCACTGGACCCCATGATATAATGGGAATATTGCTAACTGCAGTGTTTAAGCAACTAACAAACATCGACTACTGGCACTGGACCCCATGATATAATGGAAATATTGCTAACTGCAGTGTTAAGCAACTAACAAACATGGACTACTGGCACTGGACCCCGTTATATAACGGAATATTGCAAAGCAACTAACAAACATCGACTGGCCCTCGTGATAAAACGGGAATATTGCTAACTGCAGTGTTAAGCAACTAACAAACATCAACTACTGGCACTGGACCCCGTGATATAACGGGAATATTGATGGCTGGCCATGAAAAAACGACATGCTCACGCAGACATCATTAACATATCAGTTGGACTCGGATGCGCTTCTTCAGAACCCAGTTTTGTGTTTTTACTTGAAATACAATATCAATTGTTCATCAAGATGTTTTTCAGCTGATGGGATTAGAACGGAGACAGTAAATGTGATTCCTTTTCACCGGAACATTTAATTTATTTCTGTAAAAATCACCACAGTGTCCAATTTCAAACTCTTAAGCTCTTTCACTAAATCAGGCCTGACAGTGGGATCATAAGAGGAAACGGTCATTTGTTTGAGAAAAATAGAGAAACTGAAATTGCAGAATTATTCTGATTGAACTTTTCACAATGGGGCTATTTATTTGCAGGTTGGTTATCAGACTATCTGCCATTATTCTCCAGACTCCTTGGCTGTCAGAATTGAGTCATCAGTGGTGTTAATGTCAAACACATGCTGCAAAATAAAATTCTGCTATAGTTGGCAGTTTTACCGGATGTCGGATGTTTCGTTAGTGAAACATTTCTGTGGTATTTAAGTGAAGGGACACACTGGTGTGAGGGGCTTGTAAGATGGGTGATCAGCAGTGGTATGCATTAGGATGAATGTTGATCAGTGACATTGGAAGTTGAGACTGGTTGGGAGGTTGTTTTGTAGGTGGGGCTGGTTTGTAGGGGCTGATTGGTAGGTTGTTTTGGAGGTGGGCATGGTTGGTAGATTGTTTTGTAGATGGGCCTTGGGGTAGGGGGCCTTGTTGGTGGGGGGCTGATTGGGCAGGTTGTGGTGGTGGGTTGGAAGGGTCAGGTGGTTGTTTTGTAGGTGGGCCTTGTTGGTAGGGGCCAGTAGGTGGGGTTGGCTGGTTGAGGCAGGATGGTGGTGGTGGGTTGGAAGGGTCAGGATGGTTGGGTTGTTTTGTAGGTGGGCCTTGTTGGTAGGGGCCAGTAGGTGGGGTTGGCTGGTTGAGGCAGGATGGTGGTGGTGGGTTGGAAGGGTCAGGATGGTTGGGTTGTTTTGTAGGTGGGTCTGGTTGGTAAAGGCCAGTAGGTGGGGTTGTCTGGTTGAGGCAGGATGGTGGTGGTGGGTTGGAAGGGTCAGGATGGTTGGGTTGTTTTGTAGGTGGGCCTTGTTGGTAGGGGCCAGTAGGTGGGGTTGGCTGGTTGAGGCAGGATGGTGGTGGTGGGTTGGAAGGGTCAGGATGGTTTGGGTTGTTTTAGGTGGGCCTCTTAGGGGGCCAGTAGGTGGGGATTGGCTGGTTGAGGCAGGATGGTGGTGGTGGGTTGGAAGGGTCAGGATGGCCAGGTGGGCCTTGTTGGTAGGGAGCCAGTAGGTGGGGTTGGCTGGTTGAGGCAGGATGGTGGTGGTGGTGGAAGGGTCAGGATGGTTGGGTTGTTTTGTAGGTGGAAAGGGGCCAGTAGGTGGGATGGTTGAGGCAGGATGGTGGTGGTTTGGAAGGGTCATGGTTGGGTTGTTTTGTGGGTCTGGTTGGTAGGGGCCAGTAGGTGGGGTTGGCTGGTTGAGGCAGGATGGTGGTGGTGGGTTGGAAGGGTTAGGATGGTTGGGTTGTTTTGTAAGGGCAGGTAGGCAGGGTTGGTTGGTAGGTGTTATTTGTTGGTTTTTACATTAGGTGATTGGGACTGGTCGAGTAGGTAGGTGGCCCATCTTTGTTAGTACTGATGCATTGAAGGTTACATGGAAATGATTGGGTGTAATTCTTGAGGAACAATACTGTACCTCTGATTTGGGCATCATATGGTTAGCTTTACACTGGGGGCTGGAGAAAGAAAAAGTAGTAGGTGTTGTATATGGGGGTAGCAACAAATCTTGTAAGAATCTGTTGGCATCAAGTTTTATCAGCTTATTATTAGATGGATTGAGTTGAATGAATGTTTTGAGTATGAAATTATCAAGGAAGGAACAAACAATAGATTCAAAACTTTTTGGTAAATAATTCTGTAAGAAGGTTCCCTCAGCTCTGACATGCACTTGATCCACAAGTTGGAAAAACAGATTGCGAGTGGGCTGAGTTGCGGTTTTCCTGTTTGAAACACAAAGGTCTGGTCTAGATGAAGCATACTTTCCACCACTGTGTACACCCAACACAATATTTCATAAACAACCATGGCTAATTCGACTCCCACAGTTGTGTGTCTGTCTTCATTATCGTCATGGCCATCCATTGTTTTCCACAATTGTTGTGCCAACTTTGAAGTGGCGCTGTAGTTTGCGTGACATAGCGTTCATACTTTGTGTATTGTTTGCAGCAAGCTGTCGCACGTGTGTGTTGTTTCTACTCCCCAGGTTATTGTGCTATGGCAATGTGACATACCACCCCCTCCATCACACAGGTGGCCCGCAGACCTGGGAGTCCCTGTCTTAGTCAAGACAAGGAACATTAAGGTATGGTGGCCCACCAGGGGCATAATGTGTTAAAGTAATCAGGATACAGTCACCAATACAGACTGTCCAAAGAGCCTATGTCCTGGCATGTCATCCATCATCAATCCATCACGCTCCATCATCACACTTCAACTCTTGACTTCTGTTTGGAAGCAGCAGAATTGATAAACTCAAACTTAGAAGGGTGTCTAATATATACAACTGAAAAGAAGTTTTAAAGATAACCCAAATTCTTTAACTTATTATGGTACAATAATTGATTTAATTTTTTACTTGAAAAGAACACTACAGTGAATAATGTGGGGAAAAACATGTTTTACAGATGCCCAAATGTTTTGGCATCTGAAATAGTGATGTTATTTGCTGCCACACAAGGGGATGGTTAGAGTGCGAAAAGGCCTTGAGAGTTGAAACTTTGGAGAGATAGATCAGACCATAATGTGACCTGCATTTGACAAATTTAGTTTGTTTTAATTCTGCAGTTACTAAAAGTATTTGATCATTATCTACAAAAAGTCAGATTTTATTTTGGTTCATTATTTATTATGGAGTTACGATTTATTCATGGCTTTTAAGTTTGTTGATATCTAATTTTCTTAAAATTCATTTAATCAAGATTTATGTTAAAATATTATGGTTAAAGTTTTTCTTTGGATCCATGGTCTTCACACAGCTGTGGCCTTGTTGAGAATGTTGTGAAAATAACAGGCCTTTCTTCGAGAAACAGCTTTTATTCCTTGTAATGTTTCAGTGACATTGGGTGTACCCAGTGAGCAACAACACCTTGATTATTTTAGAAAATTCTACATGCATATTTTTACTCCCAACAGTGAAATAGTAGGCATGGCAACCAAGCAGAAAACATACATCTTTTGATCATTGAAAATGATATGAGAGTATGGAAGATGTCTTTTTTTCCTTTGTAAAGAATATTGTTAAGTACATATTTTTATTCAGACGATCCTTGTGATGCTTTGATGTCTAGCAGGTGAATTTGTCTTAGCTAGTAAGTGATTATTTTGTGATTGTCAAGATACGCATCTCTACAGCTCTGGTAATGAAAGTACCTTCTGTGGAATAAACCTAGAACATGTTTAGGAGACACAGCAGGTGTATAATCAGAACTGATGCCAAAAAACTAGCACATTATCAAAACTGGAAATGTTGGTATATTCAGAGAAACATTTATGTTCTGGAACACACAGTACTGCCTCTGAGCAAACCCATGATCATCTTGTGTATCAGTGTGTTGATGAGTTTAGACTTTTTCTGAGTTAAACGGAATGCACAAAATATGTACTAGTTCTCTTATAAGTGGTTCAGGTTTGAAAGTCTTTTGAATATTGCAATGTTAGAAGGGGATGGGTGGCCCAGTTGAGCAAAGTCAGGGCTCCCACAGGTCAGGGAAAAGTCAGGGAAATTTGGCTTTTCTCTGAAAGTCGGGGAATTTTGATATGTTTTCAAAAGTCAGGGAATAGTCAGGGAATTTGGGGTTTAAGTCAGGGAAATTTAGAGTTTTGGTCAGGAGACTCAGAATGTCACTAATCAGGTATGGTAGTAGTCAAAGTCAAAGATGCTACTTGTACTTAAGGGCTCCGGACCATATACAGGCAATACCAGTATACATACAGCACATGTTACAGACATTTCATGAAATAAATTACAGTTCAGATAAGAGATTGCTTCTAAGCATATCAGCATGTTTTACATAAAGCCCTAGATTACGTATTACATTTTCATTTTTGGAGGATAGAATGGAAGCGAAGTCACTTGAAGGATATTTTTACAGATAATTATTTGGCATGTATTGGTTTTTTTAAATCAGCATACTGTAAATTTCATCTACTATAGCTGGGTTACATAACAGACATATTCTTCTATGAAGCACAATCGGTTGGATTTGTGAATCAAACAATATGAAACATGTTTTCCGGGTTAAAATTAAAAAATTCTGGGAAACTGACATAAATTTAATAAGAGCATTCTTAGCATGTGATTTCAGATTTATAAGACTCTTTTTTATCCCCTGGCATGTAATGCAGGGGGATATAGTCAACGCCTCGTCGACCTGTCCATCCGTCTGTCTGTCCGTAATCATTTTGTTTCCGGAGCATAACTCGAAAATGGTTCAATATTTTTCAACAAAACTTTTCAGATACATCAAACAGAACCTAAAGTGGTGCCTTTTGCTATTTACAGATTTTTGTCATTTTCATTTTTCTTGGTTGCCATGGAAACGTTTTGGACTGAGTCTCAAAAGGGAGTGGTGGGCTTTGTTTCCGGAGCACAACTCGAAAACCGTTTAATATCTTTCAACAAAACTTGGCAGATATATCAAACAGAACCTAAAGTGGTGCCTTTACAGATTTTTGTCATTTTTATTTTTCTTGGTTGCCATGGAAACGTTTTGGACTTTGTCTAAAAACATGAAGTTTCATCTTTAAGTAACTGTCAGATGATTTGCTCTTTCATATTTGTAGGGGTCAGGGGGATTTGTCATCTTCTGATGACTCTTGTTTAGCATGGGAAAACACTAGTCTGAGATAGGCATAGTGATTAACAATAGATAATTGTTTGCCATTAAAAAAAAAAAAAATTCTTTATGGGCAACAGATCCACCTCTTCTAAAGATAACTATGTTGACACATCATTTTCCATTCATTTGTATACTGTTCCAAAATATTATAAATAGTATGATGGCTATGGTGGTTTCTTGCAAATTGTGAAAGCCCATTTTGGCCAAAATACCCATATAAGTTTCATTGTTAAAGTTTAGGTTTATAATATGACCTATGTTCTAACATTTGCTGTTTATTCACAAAATTGAAAGTGGTTGAATGGTGTTCATAATCTAGTTATCATGGTTGTACTGAATATAAAGTTATATCTTGCATGTTTATTCTTTCCAAATATGCCTATGATAATTACAACATTTTGTGATTTGAAGAAATGTGTTCCTGACTTTGAATGAAACAATTCAATTAAATCATTAGTTTCACATTTATGCTCTTTGTCCAAAGCCTTTAATATAAAATACAAAGTTTTCAGATGATATATTACTGATTTCAGCTTAGAATATATATTTGATGGTCACGCTCAAATGTATCTAATAGTTTTATGTGACATTGTGGCAGGAGAGTCAAGGAAAAATTTCTTCATCACAAATATCAATGTTTTGGTTAATGTAATAAATTAACAAATATTGTGTGTATTTATGATATGTGTGAAGGAAATATCTTAACAGGGTGGTTAGGACTGGCTGAAAGGGAGGAAGGAGGCCAGATTTTACACTTAAAAGGTCCAGGAAAAATCTATACTTGTCGGGGAAAAGTCAGGGAATTTTGGCCTGCCATGCCTGTGGGAACCTAGTCTGTCTCACAGTCCCTGAACAACATTATTTTCCCTACTGCCAAGCCCTCTCTGCAGTGCTAAAGCCCTAAATAAAGCAAGTCTAGATTTCCCCAGGTTCTGAATCTCTGGTCTCCCTAGGGCTCCTTTTCAATATAAATGGGCTTGTTTGTTACTATCCAAATTATATATATTCAGAGACTAAGCCTTAGTCTAGTGGGAACCCTGCAAGTGCTGGAATTTGCTGGGCAGAGTTATGTCCCTTTAGCATGCCTGAAACCCTTGGATTCAAATCCTGGTTTGTCCTGATTATGGTTCTAGTTTGGTCAGCACTATACCCTTGCTCATTGGTTTCACTATAGTTGTGGATGTCTCAGACCTGCTTTACTTTCCACTTACAGTTCGCTGATACGTAAGTGGAATACTGTTCAAAGCGGTGTTAAACTAAACTCACTCACTCAGTCGATGTCAGAATGAGTTCACACCAACAACATTATCAATTTCATGAAAACTACATATTCCCTGTGAGGATTGCCAAAATGTCTGTATTCGGTTTAGGCCATTAACAAAGACTGTAAACATTGTTATACAGTAGGAACATCAATGTATGGATTCCCATTGGGGACACTTTTTATCAGCATTAGTAATAGGGATGCGTCTTGGAATTATGTATCTACACAGAGAGGCAGTCTTGATTATCTCGCTGAAGATTGTAGAGCGGTAGTAATTGATAATGACGCTGTTGAGATGGATGAAATTCTCCTGAGGAAAGGTTATTGGTGTAGTCAAGTTACTTCAGGTGTTTGTTCCAAAGATTTAGTGTTATATAGTAGAAGTACAGTAATTGAATCCCTCTTTCATAGGCATTTAGAAGTTACATTTAGAAATGTTCACAAAATGAGTTTATTTTGATGGTGGTGCAACTTCTTAATATCAGTAAACGAACTGTTCAGGGCCCTGTTAGGTGCATCTCAGCAATATGATTGTCATGGTCTGTCGTAAGGTGTGGGACTTACGGTCATCCTACCACTGAGCTCATTTTCTGTAACGGTGTCCACAGTGTTCCATCTTTTTTATCACCTGATGAAAAAGTTGGAATAGAACTAGAAAATGTTTGTCAATTTGCTGCAGTTGAAGGGCATCCAGAAATCAGTCTCTTCTGATGATTCATCCGGCAATGTATCTAGGATTCCAAACACACATTTCGAGAAAAACTGATGTCTTGTTTAAACTTGGGATTATTGGATGTTATTTTTAAGCCTTAAAATTAGAAGTTTATTAACAATACATTCAATGCAATAATAGTCTGTTCCTAGTCATTGGTCATTTTCTCAGTGAAATACAAGTTGCCTTGACGGAGACCAGCCAGTTGATGATGTAATATATTGATAGAAGTCAAGTAGTACTTGCCAGGAATTACTACTGTCATTAGCTTATCAGTTAAAGCTTTGGGATGTTGGTTTTTAGTTTGTTGCTTTGTCAAACTGGTAAAATCTATAAATGTTATACTGGAACCCGTTTCACAAAGCTATCATAGCGCTACGACTGTCATAAGTCTATGTTACAGTAAAGGATTTATGACAGTCGTAACGCAACGATAGCTTTGCAAAACGGGGCCTTGTTTCTTAACTTTTTCTATGTATGATGTGATGTTAACAGCACATTCCGTTATTTTATTTCAGACTATTAGCGCTAGATTTCATCCATATAAAGAAATAGAAACAGATGCTGTGTTTAGTCTGGATGAAGATGCATTGCTCACAACAGATGAAGTAAGTGTGATGGTGATGTCAGTGGGGTTGACTCAGATGATTGTGTGTTGTCATATCCGATATGACCTGGTTGAATATGGGGCATCATACTCAGGTATGACATGGACGATTGTGTGTTGTCATATCCAATATGACCTGGTTGAATATGGGGCATCATACTCAGGTATGACATGGACGATTGTGTGTTGTCATATCCAATATGACCTGGTTGAATATGGGGCATAATACTCAGATAGGACATAGATGATTGTGCGTTGTCATATCCGGATATGACCTGGTTGAATATGGGGCACCATACTCAGATAGGTCATATCCGGATATGACCTGGTTGAATATGGGGCACCATACTCAGATAGGACATAGATGATTGTGCGTTGTCATATCCGGATATGACCTGGTTGAATATAGGGCACCATACTCAGATAGGACATAGATGATTGTGCATTGTCATATCTGGATATGACCTGGTTGAATATGGGGCATCATACTCAGATAGGACATAGATGATTGTGCGTTGTCATATCCGGATATGACCTGGTTGAATATGGGGCATCATACTCAGATAGGACATAGATGATTGTGCGTTGTCATATCCGGATATGACCTGGTTGAATATGGGGCATCATACTCAGGTATGACATAGATGATTGTGCATTGTCATATCCGGATATGACCTGGTTGAATAATGGGCATCATACTCAGATAGGACATAGATGATTGTGCGTTGTCATATCCGGATATGACCTGGTTGAATATAGGGCATCATACTCAGATAGGACATAGATGATTGTGCCTTGTCATATCCGGATATGACCTGGTTGAATTGGTTGAATTGGTTGAATTTTGGGACTGTGACATAAAACAACATTCACTTGCTCCCCAAATGACTAAATGAATAGTACATGAATTTGTATACTAGTGTTGAAATATATCCTGTTAACTTAAACAGATCTGTGTTCATGTGTGCCAGTATTATAGACTGGTGTCCCGTCTTCTTGTTTCAACACATTGACTCACTAATGATACATGCTCCATTTTTCTTAATGTGATGTTTCTAAATGGTATGTGTTTGTTTAGATTGACTTCACTTCGCATTTAGTGTGTGGCAAGAATTCCCAGAGAGGATCGTTGGGTACCCAGCCAGGAACCACTACTGGGATGACAGCAAGAATAGGTGGAGCTACACCTCCAAGTGGGCCAATGAGTATTCCATGGTGCTGTCTGGTGCCGCTGTATACCATAGGTAGGTGGATGATAAATGTGTGTGGTTACAGGACCATATACCATAGGTAGGTGGATGATAGCGTGTGTGGTTACAGGACCATATACCCATATACCATAGGTAGGTGGATGATATAATAGTGTGGATGATAATGTTGGTTACAGGACCATATACCATAGGTAGGTGGATGATAATGTGTGTGGTTGATATACAGGACCATATAGGTAGGTGGATGATAATGTGTGTGGTTACAGGACCATATACCATAGGTAGGTGGATGATAATGTGTGTGGTTACAGGACCATATACCATAGGTAGGTGGATGATAATGTGTGTGGTTACAGGACCATATACCATAGGTAGGTGGATGTGTGTGGTTACAGGACCATATACCATAGGTAGGTGGATAATGTGTGTGGTTACAGGACCATATATAATGTGTGTGGTTATAGGTAGGTGGATGATAATGTGTGTGGTTACAGGACCATATATCATAGGTAGGTGGATGATAATGTTACAGGACCATATATCATAGGTAGGTGGATGATAATAGGTGTGTGTGTGGTTACAGGACCATAGGTACCATATACCATAGGTAGGTGGATGATAATGTGTGTGGTTACAGGACCATATACCATAGGTAGGTGGATGATAATGTGTGTGGTTACAGGACCATATACCATAGGTAGGTGGATGATAATGTGTGTGGTTACAGGACCATATATCCATAGGTAGGTGGATGATAATGTAGGTGGATGATAATGTGTAGGTGGATGATAATGGTTACAGGACCATATACCATAGGTAGGTGGATGATATATATCATAGGTGTGTGATAATGTGTTACAGGACCATATACCATAGGTAGGTGGATGATAATTGTATGTGGTTACAGGACCATATATCATAGGTAGGTGGATGATAATTGTGTCTGGTTACAGGACCATAGATGGGACATAAAAACAGGACTCCCTCATTTAAACTTCAAAATTGATGATAATTTATAAACCCTGTCTAGAAAGTGTCTCAGGACCATAGATGGGACATAACAAAACCCATCATCAGCTCTGAACAAAACCCATCATCAGCTCATACATGATAACGGTTTGCCATTCATTGTTGTTTTGATAAGATGCTTAGTCATGTAGCACTCTAGCACATGGTGACGGTTAAAGGAATACATTAATTTTAAGTACTGAAGTACAGTCAAATCCCGATGAGTCGAATGCCGGTGTCTCGAATATTATGCATAACACGAAGTACCTGTCGGTCCCGACCATTCCCTGTTATAGTTGTCATCATTTGATTTCCGGTTACACGAATTCGTCTCATAAATACGCACGGTGACTCGAGAAGAAAATTTGGTCCCATGAGATTTAAACAACAGCAATCTTGTATACATAAGCCGAAGTCAGTCAATGAGAAGTTGATTGGTGTAGCAAACTGATCCAATTAACAAACCAGCGCGGCTCACACCTTTCCGCCTTTGACGGGTGAGTTCAAAAGGCAGATTAGTGATTTTACGGAAATCACTGTCTGTGCTAATCAGACTGAACTGATAAGGTGCCCCTATTAGTGATAGGGAAATTATTAGATAAGCACATGCGTAGGCGGAGGAATTAGGACTAGATCATATTTTTTTCTACCCTCATAGACATACCTATGTCTCGAATACATCGATAAGTCGAATTTATTACTTGGTCCCCAGAGATTCGACTCATCGGGATTTGACTGTAATTTCTACGAAGAGAATCTTTTTTCCTGTAATTTAATCACCAATTATCTAAGTTTCAGTGTACTGGGCTTACTTTTGTCATGTTCATTCAACAGTCATTGAGATATTTGAGTCTTCCTTGCTATTAGATGAAAGAACAAAGGGAATTAATTACATGTGCAGCATTTAGATATCACATGTCTTATGGGCAAGTGTGTGGGATGTCTCAAGTTACAGAATCGTCATTTCACTATTTGTTACAGGTTTTGCTACTTTGTGGCTTATTTCAATACTGCAATATAATTAGATACATTTTTATACATATTCAGTGATGATGTAAATGAAATTTATGAGAAACAATAACTGTTATGTCAAATTGTATTAGAAAATATGAGACGATCCTACTCATACTTATCTCCAGCTCTCCAACGGCTGGCTGGGCAGTCGTGATCGAGGTGAGGTTCAGTTAAACGTTATTTGCAGAATATAGTGTGAGCAAGGAATTTGAATACAATGAAAGCTTATATAACCAATTAGTACTTGGAAGAGTTGTTTAGGACAAAATGCAAGGTTTTACTTTCAAACAACATCAGTGGCGATTGGACTCCGATTGACGTGAGCAGTTAAAACAAGATGTGTGATCTTCCACGTCATGCCTAAGATAACCAACCCCTTAAAACACAACTATTTCTATAATTGAAAAACACGCCTTATTTGTGGCGATACAGTATACAATCCATCATTAGCTCTCCACAGTGCCAGTCAAAAGCAATTAAAGTATCAAGATGAAACAGAGTGGTAGGGGCAAGAACTGAAACAATTAATGGAATGTTGGATGGGCCTCTGATGTCTGAGCTTGAAATGGGACTCCTTGCTATGGCCAGTGCATTGTTTTGAGGTGGTTAAACCACTTGAACAATGGGTGATAAAGAATAATTGTAAGACAGTGTCTGATTACATCCAGATAATTACCTGTTGTTGCATGTAACAACTGTAACACGTTTGAAATGGATAGACAACAAGTGCCATGATCTACTTTATAACATTTGGAATATGTTTATTTATGTGAGCATCAAATTACTGCTAATATTGTTAGTGATCTTGAGGGCGGTTGGGTAGCCTAGTGGTTAAAGCATTGGCTTGTCACGCCGAAGAACCGGGTTCAAATCCCCACATGGGTACAATGTGTGAAGCCCATTTCTGGTGTCCCCATTTCTCATGTTGCTGGAATATCGCTAAAAGCGGCGTAAAACCAAACTCAGTCAGTCAGTAGTGATCTTGATGCAAGACTATTATCTGACTTTTAGAATCCCTCAAAGCATTGCTGGTTGCTTGACAGTCTCACTCACAACTTTAATATAACCTGCTTGTTGTATGGCTTGGAGGGAATAGAACGTACACAGAGACGCAGACAGACACGTACATATTTAAGACTTTCACACACAATTAAATGTTCTTATATATCATTCCTTGTTTTTATTCACATGTTTTTGGACAAACTTTAGTTTCTCAGTTCTGTTGAATTTCTCTATCATCAACGAATATACACAGTATAAAAATACACTTTAAAATCATGACTTCAAAACTTATTTAACCAAATAAGTATTATATTTTCATTCAACACTTCAGACAAATTAGTTTGTCTGTTAAAGTGAGTGAGGAGTATAGTTTTACGCCGCTTTTAGCAATATTCCAGCAACATCACGGTGGGGGACACCACAAATGGGCTTCACACATTCTACCTATGTGGGGAATCGAACCCGAGTTTTCAGCGTGACGAGCAGAACGCTTTAACCACTAGGCTACCCCACCGCCCCTTGTCTGTAAAACGTTTTGACAGTTAGCATTTCTGTACATCACTAGTATTTAAGCCTTCAACCATGTCTTGATTTGTGTTATCACTGCACTTCCTAAAGTTCCCAGCAATGGTGGTATAGATTCAGTCGTGCAACCATTCCTGAAACCAAATTGTAGTGATGACCACCTCCCTGACTCCCTGTCTCGCTGACTTCTGTGCTTCATGAACCTGCCGTTATGTGAAGAAATGCTTCACACACCACCGTCTAATGGGTGATGTAGATGTGACAGCAGATTATTTGTCATGACCTGAAAATGGCTCAAATATTACAAAGTAATACCAGCGCAGCCGGTCTGCCATTTCCTTTGATCAAGTCGTACCATCTGGAGGGAAAATGAATCCAATTTGTAGGCAGTGCTGACCTGTTAGGCGCCTGACTGACCCTGCGAGGAGCTGAGATGGGGGTTCTGTACTTTTTGACCCTGTGAGGTGCTCAGATCCCTATTAGGAACTCAAATAGGGTATTTTTTGTCCAAGTTGACCCTGTTTGGAGCTCAGTTAGGGGATGTTGCCAGAGTAGACCCTGGCTCAATATACATCAGGATACATTGCATATACACTTGAAATGCAGCATGATACACATAGTTTTATTTGCTTGACAAAGTCACCGAGAATGCTGTAACGGTTTTCATTAAGAAAACAGTTCCACGTCTTGCTAATTGATTTTAGTGTTATGCAAAAAGCTTTTGAGAAACACCCAGCAGCTTTCTGTAAGTCAGACAAAGCTAAATACAGGCTTCAGTTAAACACGCAGCTTTAATTTTGATGATGCATCGAACATCTTGAAGGCGAAGTCTCCCATTAGTTCAGCAACAGCAGCAGGATGCAGGCTGTTCGTGAGGCTAGATGGGTTTAACATGCGTGATGTAGGAAATGTGTATGTTATGAATATGACAGTGTTATTTACTCTAGGTCACTGCATGTTGTTAGCCAGTTATTGGATTCAGAAGTCTCTTCATCAAAACGCTTTTTTTAGCCAAAGGTCAACCCATTGGCTGTCCCCTGGGATCTGTTTCTTGTCAGGAATGGGTATTTCATGAGCTGTATGTTTATTGAGGGCTCGATGTAAGAAGTGTGCAGGGCTGATGTCGGTACATGTCTTCCTGATAGGTTGCCCAGAGGGGATGGAAGCAGACGGGTGGGTTATCAGGGTTAGTAAGTCATATGCTGTATCAGTAATGAACATGCTACATTGATGTCATAACTACTCCATCACACTGACAGGCTAACTGGACCTGCTTTGAGGAGTTTCTTTTTGTCGTTTTGCTTTTTGTTAAATACTTCACTCAGCAATATTTCAACTATGTGATGGTGTTCTGTGAATAATTAAGTCTGGACCAGACAATCCAGTGACTGATATCCTGAACTTCGATCCACACATTCATGATATGGTTAAGAAATAATTCACCTGACCACCTGATCCCGATTGGGTTTTCGTGACATTCATGGGTTATGCAAGAATGCTTTCTACGCTGGAATCCCCTAAACTGATTCAATGAATGGTTGGGGGAAGCTAGGTTGTTGTGAAGTATTGGAGAAGGGAAGAGAGGTGTGATGCACACAGACACACACACACAAAGCACACACATGCAAGCACACACACATGGATAGGATGGTACATTTGCATAGTATCCTTGGACAAGATACTTAGATCCACATTGCCTCAGTTCAGCCAGCTGTAAAATGGGTACACATGAGTATGTGCTGGCAATGTGAGTGTTTATTTCATTGCGCCTAACAGGCAACATGGCTGTATGATCCCCAGGGAGTTGAAAAAGTATCGGAAAGTACAATAGTGTCCTATGACCAGGGATAGTAATGTACATAGCGCTGTGAGCAGACAATGTGCCTGGATATGAGCGCCATATAAGAGGACTATTACAATTACAATTAATCATTAGCAATGTCAGTTTGTGTCATTGTTTTGAATGAAAGGTACCTGAACTACCAATAAGACTCACTTTTATACCCTATTGACAGTGTTGTCTTAGCTTATAATGATCTCTTAATCTTTTTTCATTTACAGTTACTACAACTTCCTTTATACCAACTTACTGAGCAGTGTGTTGATAAAAACAGTCGACCAGGCCGCTAACTGTGAAGACATCCTCCTCAACTTTCTAGTCAGCCATGTTACCAAACTTCCACCCATCAAGGTCACACAGAGAAAACTGTACAAGGAGGCCATGCTGGGAGCAGTCAACACCAGCAAGACGTCCCCGTGGACGGACCAGTTTCATTTTCTACAGAGAGAACTTTGTGTGGACACTTTTGCCAGTGTTTTCGGCTACATGCCACTTGTTCGATCAAAGAGTCGGATGGACCCCTTACTTTTTAAAGACCCTGTGTCAAATTTGAGGAAAAAATATCGTCAAATTGAGCTTGTATGACCTCAGGTGTGCTTAGTGAATCTGCAGAACGTGATGTCAATGTGTCTGTCCAGTTGTGTGAGTGAGAGACAAGTATGAGCTGTTAACAGCTTGCTTTAGCATGGAAGGGTGTGTTACAAGCATGTACTGCTCAAATAGCCAAGATACTTTCACATGTCTTAAACTGCCAATATATTCAATTTGAAAATTCTGATTTATTTTAAATATGAGTCGTTTGTCAGTTTTCTTGGTGATGTACGTAACAGTGGATTGTCACTAAGTTTAAAAATCAAATTTCCCCCAATGGACCTTTTGGGTGTAATATTCAACTAATTGTTAAGTATTTTTCAAATTTTGAGAATGTTATCCAGGGACCAGTCATTTTAAAAGGTGTCTAGACTTATGAATCTCTATCCACAATCCAACTGAAAACCATACCCAATGCTGCTTAGATTGAACCTCCTTCGGTGTTGCCCCATACTGTATAGTCCACTGAATTAGCACTGAAAAAAGTCTGTAAAATATAACTGGAACTTAAGCCTTGTCATGAGTAAGATAATATTTCAATGGTATAAAATTGGCTTTATGAAAACCCATGCAAATTCTGTTGGTTGATTTTCTACCTCCCTAATAAAATTGTCAAAATTTTTATTACGTTTAACGCTAATTCCTCCTGATCACTTCACAGTGAAATATTTTTGTTATTTGTTCCTCAGTCCAGTTTATCAGTGAAAAGGGTGATTTTTAACAAATTTAAACCATTATCTGTATGTTATTAAGTAACACATCCCTTCAGTACATGTTATTTGTGTTCATTGTGCTTTGTGTGAAGTGTTTGAGTGTGTGATTTGTGTGTTTGGGAACCTGACGTTTTATGAGAGAAATGTATATTATATGTATGAAGTAAGCTATATATTATACCGATTATGCCAAGACATGTATGATGGATGTTTGTGTGGAAATATGAACACATATAGGCTTTCCATTTATGCCTTAACGTTATCATGTACCAGTTTTAACACTTTTAAGTTTTAACAAATATTTAAACAATGTAACAGTTCATCTCTGCACGTTTTAGTTGTGTTATGATGTGATAATTTTAATTCTATTTGAGTAGATGAAAACACATACTTGTATTTTATTTCATATGCTATTAAACATGCTGTTAAATAGTATATGGTGAGATCTTGTTTTGATAGCTGTACAACTGTAGCCTTTCTTTTAATTTGTTATGAAAAAATTATGTTAATTTATTTTTTTATCACCAGTTGATTTTCATTTTATTTTACATGTAAAATTTACCTGTTTTAAGTCAGCCTGTTAAAAAAAGACACCTTCATAATCCTTTCCTAAACTGAAGGTTGGAGATGGTTGTTGTGGCAAGTTGGGGTTCATTCTCAAGAATTCTGTGCTTGTCTAAATCAAAATCTGTTGCTTAGAATCACTTTGATGTCAAGTAATAGTTGTTTACTTTATGTGATAAGTGCTAAACTTACTGAGCAGAGCAAAATGGTTTTAAAATCAAATGAATGTAGAGTTATTTTTCATATTTAGGCTAAAACAAATGTACTGCTTTTCAGGCGATGAACATTAAATGTTTGCGCTTGCGAGGGGCACATGTTTTGTTATTTTTCTTGTCTTCAAAAAGTGTGGTACCAGATATCCATCCTCTTGCGTAGTGTCAATTTCTCACAGCAATAGTCCATAATTGAGGCCTCTGTACTATCGCTGGCGCCCATCACAGCTCTACACTGCATGGAGTTGAAGTCACAACCAACTGGCCTATAGGGTGTAAACAAGTGAGGAATGCTGCTTTTTTATTTTCTGTGGGTTTCTATTTAATTTCAACTGTCATGTAATTGGTATACCAAAAATGTGACAGGAAAATTGGGTTCTTTTCCAAACCAATCTAAAAAAGACAATAAGTAAAGTCATATGTGGAGTCAGGACTTAATCATAGAAATTTAAAATTTCACTATGACGTCATTCCCTGAAATGTTCACAAAAATATAAATGGCCCTGCCTTCAGTGTTAGAGGCTAGATTCTTGTAATGGCCACCTTCACTCTGTTGGCAGCAATGTGATTGAGATGGCGAAACAGTGTGGGGGAGGTGTCTGGTGATCAAAGGGGGATAACTCTGTGTATGTGATAATCATGGAAATCTAATCCCTTCAAATAGTTTTATATCTTGCTGATTTTAATCTGTTAAATATGAAGAATTATGATTATCAGGAAGTTTCAATTTATATTCATGTATATGATACCTATTTATATTTTTTAAGGATTTCAGTAAATATGTCCAAACAGAAGAGAACAGTTTATTCTCACTTACAGATGATTTTCATTAGAAAACTGTTACTTTACATGAATCAACTTTGGTATTTCCAGTGAAGTTATTTCTTTTATTTATGCATTTAGTTTGTTAATATTCAGTTTAAAAGCGAAAAAAGAGGGGGAAAGTGGCTGATCACTTACATTTCAATTACCGGTACTATCATTACAATTCAGGTTGCTTCAAAATGTGTGGGGTTATGTTTGTTATGGAATTATTGACTGATTTTATGACTCACCCCAGCAATTACATATGTACTTAATAATTATGAAAAAATCATTCCCCCACAACATGCACAACAATTTTCATTCTTCATAAAAATATATACATTTTTTTAAAAACTTGCTGTTACAAGTACATGTATTTTACATTTGGAAGATTTTAGATTTGAAAAGAAGGTTAAAAGATAGTGATTTCAACGGAGGAAATATGATGTAAGCATATTTTTAATGGGATCTTTAGAGGTGCAAAATTTCAGTTTGTTTTTATTGCAAGATGCCATTATTATTGTGTTGGGATGAATGCCACTCTATACTGAATGGTGAAGCAAACGACTTGAGCAGTTTTGTTTCATCTGCTCTTTTGTATTAATTTTAAGGTGCTGCCTTCGCGATGGTCAGATTCAACATGATCTCACTGATTGTCCATGACATCCTCATGGATGAAGTCAAACAGGAACTTCATAGCCATCATGAACAGTTTTACATTGTAACAGTTTGGGTAGATTTGCAGGATTTATCTTGGAGATCATTCTAGTGCTGACAGTGAAACATGGTAGTGCTGGTTCTTCTTCCGCCATCTGAAAATAAATTTCTTATTAATTTCATTTTTTTAATTGTATTTTTAGTTCCTGATAATATTAACATTAATCATGTTTTTCTATAAGAATGGTGTCAACCACGGATGTATTTATTTGTCATATACTAAACCTACATGGTTAGGATTTGTTGAAACTTTTTATGTAAATATTATTACTTGTATGTCGCAATTGTTGTACATTCAGTATTTATATAACACAGGGCATTTATTCCCGTTAAGAATGTTATGGCCAATACATATAGAGGTTTTAATCGGTTATATATTGGATGATTCTCCAGAACTGTATTCCATGTAATTCCCCACATGCTGCTTTGTCAAACCTCCAGTCACCAAGCTTGGACCAATCAGAAAGAGTCTGTTGATGGATATAGGAACCAAACAGATAACACATCAAGGAGGCTATGTAACAATAGATTTCCATGTCTGACATTGTGGGACCTATTGACCAATCTTAATTATTACACAATTTTACAGCATTAAATTTCTAGGTCTTATTTCACATAAATGTCTTGGGGCTATGATTGTAACAATTACTCTGTATCAAAGTTGTGAGCTAGTCTTTGAACCCTGGTAACAGATTGTTTTCTTCAGGTATTCTCCAGTGACCTATGTTTCTTACTGAACAGACTATGCCTTTTATTGTGTCATCTGGAAAGTCACCAGTTATTTAGTCCATCAAAGCAGTCATGGAAACAGAAATAACATTGAAGGAAAACCAAGTTCTATGGATAGTCAGCTTCTTTATTGCAATGGGTGCGACGTTTCGGTGTAGGTACTAACACCGTTATCATCACTTGCTTGATAACGGTGTTAGTACCTACACCGAAACGTCGCACTCATTGCAATAAAGGAGTTGACTATCCATAGAACTTGGTTTTCCTTCATCTATCCAACTTCTGACATGCCCCTCAAAGAAGAAATAACATTACACTGTTTTGATATTTGGATTGCTGGGGTTTTTTTGTCAATCAGTGAAATTTGTAAACATGTCCTACAGACCCACTGGGAGTCCGAGGTTTGGCAGTTTGTTTCCTTATTGCAGATGTGTGGAATTTCATGGACTGTGAAGGGATTCTAGGATGAGGTACATTCAGATGGGGATAAATGTCATTTTATTGAACAAATCAGAAAACAAACAAACGAGGGAGACCCACAAGCATTGCTGGTCATTGTATGTTTGAAAGCTTTATCATAACATATACCTCATTCAGAGTTTGATAATCACAGCAGCATTGAGTTTTCAGATAATTTGAACGCCTCATAGTTATGCAGTTGTTAAATTGTGAATGATTTCAGAATGTTACAATATGTGATATATCTATTCACAAATACCTTAATTATTAGTGATAAATTAGTGATGAATTCCTATACATGTAATTCAAATGTTATTTATTGAAAACCTAATTTTTATCTTGGTTCAAAAATTTGAACATTTATCTCATAAGTATATATGTATGTTCTTGCAGATATGAAACAAGACCTGTTTCAGTAACATCTATTAAACTAGTTATATGTTTAGAAACAATATGTAATTACATAAATTCAAATC